GCAGAAATGAGGCATCAAGAGCACTTGCTTTTGCCTGAGGGCCTGAGGTTGGTGGGAGGCATCAAGTTTGACTTGGCCCTACAAGGAGGTCTGTGGGACAGTGTGACAGAAGGCAGGGCAGAGAAATGAACGTAATGAGGTGATTCCCTACTCCTTTGGTAGAGTCCTCACTTCCTCCAAGCAGCCTTGCCCACTCTGAACATACTTCCATAGCATTGCAGAGTTTCGCTGTGTTATATGTATTATTGTGTCCTTATTCATGAGCTCCCTTGAGTTCCTCAGACTTTTTATCTGTGTGGCTTCTATAGGGCTTGGCTTATGCTTAGAAGGAACAGTTGGCTACCCCTGTGGCCAGAAGTTCCAGGCACCAGAGACAGAGTGTGTCATAGAAAAATCTTGACTTTGCTCCTTATTGATGGAGTGACCAAGAACAGGTTTTGTTTAACCTCCCTGACCCTCACATGGTTTTGCGAGGATTAAAGATACTCAAAAATCCCAAATTGGTAACAGTGCTCAATGATATCATTACCATGATAGTTTTATCTACTCCAAGATCTTATCTCAATAGTTTTAAAAAAATTTTTCACCATTGAAATGATCTCTTTAGGTTCAAAATCTAAGACCCCTGTTACAATGCTTAGGGAGAAATATGTTTCTCATTATACTTATCAGTCATTATCATGATCCTGAATTGGTTGAGGTCAAGCAGAGGGCAGGAATGGGTCACAAACAGTAATTTTTCGTGGGCTGGAGGTGGAGGAAAGAAATGTTCCTAAACTTCAGTCATTTGGTAAGCAATGTCAGGATTTCAACTCCAAATAATCTGTATTATTATTCACTTAATATTTTTCTTTAAATCAACTAAATTTTTCAAAACTTAAATACATTCATGTGAAATTTATAACATGTCAGTGTCATTTGTCATAAAGAGAATATAATTCTAGAAAAAATTAATAAAACAGTGTCAGTAAATTCTAAATAACTACTATTGCCAGAAGAAAGCTCTGGACCTGACGTCTATTTTTTGGTTAAAAAAGGAGATAACAGCCAGGCATGTTGACTCTTGCCTGTAATCCTAGCACTTTGGAAGGCTGAGGAAGATGGGTTGCTTGTGCCGGGGAGTTTGAGGCTGCAGTGAGCTATGTTGACATCACTGCACTCTAGCCCAGGTGACAGAATGCGATCCTGTCTCAAAAAAAAAAAAAAAAAAAAAAGAAAGGAAATAAGTTTTAGAATGTGTTAATGATATTAATACCATATGAGACTTTCTTAATCCAGGCTTAAAAGTGAACTAAAAAGGGAATTACTTTCTCATAATGTGATTCTTTAATTTATGCTTGTCCATCTACCACCTAAAACCATCTTCTGTATAACTTAAAGTTGCCTCATATTCCACCAGCAGTACAGGTCCTAAATTTTTGGAGACAAAAGTTCTGGCACATAAGGGAAAATTAGGCCTTGGGCATGAGGGCCGAAACCTAGGCAGATGAGTACCAGAAGTGAACTGTAGAAACTAAACCGGAGGGCCATCAAAGGCCATCTTCACCTCCTGTACAAGTTTGTGGAAATGCTTTTACAATCTGTGTAAGATTTCTCTTTTTTATCCCCTTTGGCAACTAAGATAGAATGGCACACATAATAGGTGCTCAATAAATATTTGGAGGCTGGTTGACTGATTAAAATGGTATAGGACCTTGGAAGCCCAAAAGGAAGACTAGTTTTCTGAAACATACTCCTTCATCTCCTATCTCCTATGAATACCACACTCAGCCTGAAGTCTAATGATGTGGATATGCAATACACAGCAAAAGATAACTGGTTCTAAGGACTGAGGTTCTTTCCTATCTTTTGGACTTGGAAATCTGGCTTTTGATAAATAACTATATTTACTTTTGTAATGGTACTGATCCATTTTTAAGTGATAGAATAACTCCAAAGTATCTTTCCCTCTTAAAGGTCATTTAAAGTAGGTGGTGTGGCAGCGGCGCTGGCCACATACACTTAGGGTGGCCAGCCCAGGTCTGCTAAGCAACAATGACAACTGCAACCAAAAAATAGCCAGGCGTTGTGGTGGGCACCTGTAGCCCCAGCTACTTGGGAGCTGAGGCAAGAGAATCACTTAAGCCCAAGAGTTGGAGGTTGCTGTGAGCTGTGATGCCACAGCACTCTACCCAGGGTGACAGCTTGAGACTCTATCTCAAAAATAAATAAATAAATAAAAAATAAAGTAGGTAGTGTGATCCGGTTGTGTCTTGCACTGAACTGAAAATGAGACATAAAGGAACATTTCTCACCTGTCATATTTAGGACAATGGTATTCTAGGTTTGTATCTATTAGAATATATTTTCTTGATTTTGTACAGATGACATTAGTGATAGATACATAAAGTCTATAACTACTATTTATAAAATAAAATATCTGAGTCTCTCAAAGGCAATTTAGGAAATTCAGGGTCCTCTTAAGAGAAAATTAAAACACCATCAGTAAACTCAGCCCTGGGAAAGGCCATCTTAATGTGACCAAGCCTGTGGGCAGAGATAAAACTGATAAACTTTACATATTCAGCCTTAGTCTGGAGCAAGGGATTAACTTGTTCTCTGAGAAGAACTTTAGAGGCCAAAGGAAAAGACAAGTTGAAAAGAAACACCTCTATGAAAGGGTATATAGCCAAGGAAAAGATTTCAGAAGTCTTCTGGACAATGAATCTTTCTCCCCAGCCTAGTTTGTGTCTGTGACCACATACTAAAAAGAGCCAACTTCTGATTCTGACTAGAATTGTTTATTTATGACTCACCTCCTCCTTTGTGGATCACATTTAGAAATTTTAGAAATTTGGCAATTTCTAAATGACCAGTTGGTTCTCCTTTGTGCCTCATTGATCAATCAGTGAATTCTCAAAGACTATTATTTCAGTTTTCAACCCAAATTAAACATAATCAGGAAGTTAAATCCTACTGCTGCCAGTGCTACTTTAAATTCCAAAGTCAAATATAAATCGTTGGGGATTGTCTAGAGAATTCCTGCCAAGCTCCCTACAGTAAAGGGTTGACCTCAGTGTTAAATCATGTCATCAGTGGCCCATTTTCTTTCCAGCTTTGGTGATGACATCTTTACATCAGCAGAGCAGAGTTAAATTATCAGATTCCTGAAGCAATTCCCCTTTGGACTTACCTGTGGAAATTGCTGAGTAGGAAGGATCGGTGAACTCAAGGTGCAGGCTTTGGTTCAGTGACTTTGGCAGCCTGACCAAAGCTATCCCCTGCCTTCCCACTGCTTTTTATGCAGCCCTGGGCTGTTAATGACCTCCAGCTGTGGGGCCAGCCTTCTGACCACTTTGCCCGGCCTCCCAGATCTTCAGTGCTTTCAGGGCTAAAAGACCTCTATATTTTACTGCTCCATGGTCTCCTCTGCCTCAAGGAATCCTACCTCCCAGGGTGCTGCCAACTTGGCTAGGGTTTCCATAGTGTGTGTCTTTTTTCTTATGGCAAAGGAGCTTTCACATTTCTAATCTGGAAGCAGCCTAAATTAAGCTGTAGAGACTAAATTGTGGAGACCAAAGGTATTTGGTGCAATTGAATCTCAGGAGGTGTTTGGGTCTCCTTGAAGTACAGCCTATAGTGTGGGGTTCTAAGTGACAATTTGAAATTTACTTAGCCATGAAAAAGTCCTAGTAGAGCCAGAATCCAACAGATATGTAAACTAGAACTCCATTAGCAGCCATTCTCCAAATCTGAATCATGGCTTTCCCACTTACTAGCTTTGTGTTAAAAGTTATTTACCCTCTTTGGATTTCACTTTCCTCAGAAGTAAAATGAAGGCAATGATACTTAGTCTACAGTGCTAATGTGAGCTTTAAACAAGATATAGATGCTCAGTGAATTTTAGTTCTCTTAACTCTACCCTCTGTATCTTAGAGGGAATCTGTTCACCTGTTTTATCTCTTGCTTATTAGGCAGGATGAAGCTTGGGTTGGAGAATATATTATCATATCATGTCATAATTATATTACTCAGGGGCAAGTCTAGAAAGGATGTGGGGTGGACCTTAGGTCAGTGGTTCTCAACCTTCCTAATGCTGTGACCCTTTAATACAGGTCCTCATGTTGTGGTGACCCCCAACCATAAAATTACTTTCGTTGCTACTTGGTTGGGGGTCACTATAACATGAGGAACTGTATTAAAGAGTCGCAGCATTAGGAAGGTTGAGAACCACTGCCCTAGGTAATCACAGGGATTAGTGTGTCTCTTTCTCAGATCCTAGGTTATAATGGTAAGATGAAGAAGTCCTCTGCCTCATTCAGCTCCAAGCTTCAAGAATGCTTACAATATTAATTTCTGGGAAAGCATGATCAGGACTACACATTCAGGTAGCTCAGCCCAGAACCTTGGAGATGGCAATGATTTTAATCTTACAGCGTGGGGTGAAATGTGCTAGTCCATATATAGTAGAACCTCCATAGTTGACCACCTCCCTACATTGATCATCTCCTTAAGTTGACCTAATTTTCATACAACAGAAATATACCATATATATATATGTATTAGTACAGTAGGCCTACTTCCTTTTATTGACCACCTCCCTATATTAACCAGTTTGTTACAGTCCCTTGGATGGTCACATTACAGAGGTTCCACTGTATATGGCTTTTATATGTGATTCTTAAGAGAATAAGTAGTTATCATAAGAACATGAAATTTCTAGCTCCATGTTATTAATAATTTAAATGGCTCCCAATATTTGAAGCAGGGATCCTCTCTTATTCATGTCTATTCCATTAAGTACCTAAAATATTGCTGTGGCCATTGAAGTTTGTCATTAAATCAAATTGACTTGATTCAGTATTACCGAAAATGAAACTAAAGAAAAAACTGGAACTTAACATTGCTGTTGAACAAGATCCAGACTAACCAAAAGAACCAAGAAACCAAAGTTGGCTGGTATCTTTTCTATGTACAAGACTTTGCTCACATAACTTTTATCTGTGGATTTTCTTTTTTTTTTCTTTTTCTTTCTTTTCTTGACATATAATCATGTATCATGCAGCTCCAATCATCATTTTCTAATTTGTTCTCCATAAGGAAAAACAGGTAAGGATTATCCCACCTGATGATATGTAGAAAGTTATTATTGCAAAAAAATACTCAATGTCACTAATCATCAGGGAAATGCAAATTAAAACCATAATGAAATATTACCTGACCCAAGTCAGAATTGCCATTATTAAAATGTAAAAAAAAAAAAAAGATGTTGAAGTGCATGAAGGGAGAATTCACCACTGTACACTGTTGGTGGAAATGTAAATTAGTACAACATGTATGGGAAATAATCCGTAGAGAACTAAAAGACCTACTAGTCAATCCAGAAATTCCAAAACTGGGTATTTACCCAAAGGAAAAGAAGTCATTATATCAAAAAGGCACATGCATTTATATGTTTACCACAACACAATTCACAATTGCAAAGATATGGAATCAGCCTAAGTGGCCATCAACTGACGAATAAAAAAAATAAATGAATGTGTTATATGTATATACATATACCATGGAGTACTTCTTAGACGTAAAAAAGAACAAAATAACATCTTTTGTAGTAACTTAGATGGAACTGAAAACATTATCCTAATTAAAGTATCTCAGGAATGAAAAAACAAATACAATTGGCTCAGTGCCTATAGCTAAAGCAGCTAAGGCACCAGCCACATACACCAGAGCTGGCAGGTTTGAATCCAGCTGAGGCCTGCCAAACAACAATGACAACCACAACCAAAAATAGCCAGGCATTGTGGCAGGTACCTGTAGTCCGAGCTGCTTGGGAGGCTGAGGGAAGAAAATCACTTGAGCCCAGGAGTTGGAGGTTGCTATGAGCTGTGATGCCATAGGATTCTACCTAAGGCAACAGCTTGAGGCTCTGTCTTA